GTTTCCCCCCACCAAAAAAAAAAAAAAAAAAAATGGGCTAAGCTGGCCCTTCTCATGCTTCTGCCAGGATCAGTGTGCTCCTGACAGGGATTCAGATGATCTCTAATCCCACCCCAGCGAGGCTGAGGAAAGCGTTACCCCTGCTGCTGGAAGAGAACGGAGCCTTGGGATGATGATGTCAGGAAAAACCAAGCTGTGCTGCGGGTGTGCAAACTGAAAAAAATCCCTGAGTTTTGAGTGTAAATTTGTGGGCACAGCCTGACCCACGCCTCGAGTGACCCTCCTGGAACACTACCAAGAAACGGCGATAAACCAGAAATTGCAAAATCTGACTCCAGCCTTCAGATACTGTCGTTACACCGGGAATGAAGTTGCTCGTGGAGAAAAAAAAAAAAAAAAAAAAGCCACTGCAAGCCCTGAGAAAATTAAAGCAACAAATATGAGGTGGTGAACAAGTTTCTCTTGGCTCTTCATATTTCTGGAATTGCCTTAATCTCTAGGTGAGCCTGTGGGTTTGTTAAAAGATTCAAAGGTCTCAGAAATAACATGTTATGAAAGTATAGGAAACGCCTGACTCGACTATACCTTAATATGTTCTTCAGCAACCCAGGGGCCATCTGCAATAAACTAATGATCTTTTGCTTCTGAGTAACCCCTCGCAGGACCCCAACATGCTGCAGTGAATGGTCAGAGGCATTTAAGATACAGGCTTGGATTTAAAACAGCAGAAGAAATTTTAGGAGGCAAAGAGGCGGACAAAACTCTTAAAAAAAAAAAGAAAAGACCTATTAAAAGGCAGAAAAGATGTGCTAGAGATGAAAGCAGCTCAGAGTACAGCGACCTCAGCCCGTGCTGCAGCACGCAGTTTTCTTGAAGCCCAGCAGGACAAGATTGGACTTAATACTGAGTTTACCATTAGATTGAGCTATTTGTCACAAGCCTTACCCCAGCCACAGCGAGGGGCAATACCCAGCCAGCACAGGTCTGAGCTTCAAAACTGATGGGTGCAAAGTCTGTTCTTGCTGCCAGTGCCAAGGATGACCTGGCTAAGGATGTCTTGGTGCCTGGCCTTCTCCTTCTTAACCTTGATAGTTCCTCTCAAATAAATGGGAAATGATTCCTCCGTGGGATCAAAATGACTTGGAAATATTGACAGTGCATTTATGAAATCCCACCCACACACGTGCTTGGTTTACAACCAAGAGATGATGAGACAGAAGCTCCGGGGCAAGAAATCACATTCTGTATGATTGCTAACCGGTTACTCACTCTTCATATTTAACTTTGCTTTGGGTCTCTGTGTCTTTGCTAACTTTTGGCACAGGCATTAATGTCAGCTCAGAGGCAGTTACGAGCCACTGAGTCAGCCCAGCTGAATCCATGACAGCTGCTTCTAGCCCGTGGGACCTTTGGGGAGCGACGGGGAGCTTGGTGCTGCACCTTCTGGCTGCCCAGCACTGAGCTGCTGCAGCCACCGACAGATGCGAGGTGACTCAACTGGCTGCAGATGTTTCTCAAACAGGCAAGATCTCTCTCTTACAAAGGCTGTCCCAGCACGAAACCGTCACAAATCACCGCTCGGGTTACCCTGAGGTCTCTCACGATGGTGTAGGCAGGAGTGTGACATGAGAGATCATGCTAGGGAGTGGTTTAAATCACATGGGACTACCCTTGAGCTGGTGTTCTGGTAGGAAACATCCCATCCAACATCATCGTGGGATGAAGTAGCTGAACGCAAAAATTCCCAGCTGACCTCTCGGCAGTTTCAGGTCTGGAATAGAGGCAGAACAGCCTCTGTGCTGCACGGGGAGTGCTTTGGGCATCCAGCAGCAGAGCTGGACGGGCACAAGGCTTTGTGTGCTACAGGCTGGAAAACAAGCAAGAAATGTGGCTGTTTCCCCCGTGAAACCTGGGTAAAACTTTCAGCAGTGTCTCTGCTCTTTCTGGCAGGAGGGGAAGGACTAAAGTGCATGGGGGGGGACACACACCAAGCCTGCAGAGGCCAAACGTAATCCCCTTTTCTCTGTTATGAGAATGAAAATGCCATGCTCCTGCTCTAGAATTTCAGCTGCCAGCATCGAGCCCGTCTGGTGGATTCTGGCTGGGACACCCAATCCTGGGGTAACTGGATAGCGTGCCGAGCGGCAGCAAATGCTGGGAGCTCTCGGCCAGGCTGGCCCCCACCTCCTTGTCTAAACTGCAAAGAAATCTCCCTCCTGCTGCTGCTGCTAAGGGATGAAACCAGAGAACTGCCTGTTTGCAGCTCAGACAAATTACCATCATTTTAAGTTCCCAATTTTTTAATATTTTTTTTAATTTATTTATCTCAAGGACTTCCCTGTAGTTGACATTTACCCCTGCAGAAAGCAACAAGATATTATGGATGGCTACATGAGGGTGAGAGGGTTGAGGTGTGATGGGTTTTACTTGCAATACCATGGAGTAGCTGACTCACTCACAGAAAAATTACACAGAGCATCCCATACTGAGACCTCACAAAAATTTACCCACCCCTCTACGCAACAGAAGACGCTTCTATGAGTTCTCATTCACGCCTTTAGGAGTATTTCCTTTATCCTTCCACTAGGAACAGCAGAGGGCTTAGAAAGGCAGGAAGGTAGCAAGATAAGTAAATATAAAGCAGTCCAAAAATAACCTGGGTTAGCCTTTCCGCGCACAAAAGAAATAGAAGAATTTATATGCGGATATCTTGGCCCTCACATGATTAAAAGCATTAGGAAAATGGGAATCTCTCCTTCTCGGGGGCGCAAAGCTCTCTTTTCTTCAGGACTGCCAGATAATGTATCCTCTCTTTCCCATACAAAGGGCTTATTGGCTCAGGACTCTATCTTCCCCTAGCCCGAGCCTGGGGGCAGGGTAATTTGGGATAGGGATAAGCATAGAAAAAGCCTTGGTCTGGTCATTTCAATGAGCCTCTGATTCAGAGAGCAGGACTGGTAAGTAGATGATGAAGCTACAGAAATGGAAATTGCACGATGGACTTGTCTGTGTGCAGTGGTTATCATGCGGATCTCATCCTCAACTTATTCCTCGGTGCTAAATTGCACTCGTGATAATCTGAATTAAGCACGTGCCCTGGACCATCGAACCTGCAGGTCTGCCTTTGAATTCCACACTACATGCTCATCTCCCAAGCCCAGTGCTATTAGAAATCCCTCGTCAGAAAGATGTCTCCTTATTTCCCCCGCAAATTACACCGTTTGAGGCAATATTCAGCCTCATGCCAGTCACACTTTTTACATTTTCTATTTTATGATGATTCAAAAGCTAGAAGTGGCATTTTTATACCTTTTCAGAGGAGCTGCAAAATTTCCCTCTTTCCATTGACCCTTAATGTTTGTTTTCACACTCGAGAGATCATAAACTATTGGCCTTTAAAATCCATATACTTCTCCGATGTCCTCGTTTATTGGGCTCCCCTCTAAAGAGCTGTAGCCTTTTCATTTCAGATGCCTACCTAATCAAACTATTGGGCTTTAAAATCTATACACTTCTCCGATGTCCTCGTTTATTGGACTCCCCTCTAAAGAGTTGTAGCCTTTTCATTTCAGATGCCTACCTAATTCCTCTCTGTAGCTTCAGATTATTTTGCTCTTCCTGTCCTCAGTAGTGCTACCGGCCACTCCGAAACAACCGCTACAGTGCACTTCACACATCTCCGTGTGTCCCAAGTGACTGAGAGCAAAAGTTAAACAGGCTTAGAACCCGTCCAGGATGGCTCGCACTGCAACGAATGCAAGTCCTTGCTGTTAATTTTTGGTGTACAAGGTGTGCCTTGTTCGTCTTGAAGTCAAATAGGCATTTGGAAAAAAGATTACATCAAGTAAACCAGAGAGAAGGTTAGATAAAGATCTAATGAGGTGACAGAAAATTAGAATTCTTATCCCAGGACAGTGACAGAGGGTGGGCTGTGTGCTCAGGTGATGTACGTCCTAGCATCTCCACTGACTCTGGTCAGCTGAGGACATAGGTCTCCTCCCATAACAGCGACACAGCACAAGCTCTGCCCTCTCTAGACCCGCTGATGATGGAGGCTTCAACCTCTCTGCCCGGCTGAGGCTTCCTTCCCTGGCACACACGGCACCGAAGAGCCACGCACGCAAGCAGCAGCAGTCGGATCAAACCTGGGACAGAGCCCTTGGTTTGGCAGCTGGGCTGAGGTTTGGAGCACGGAGCCCAGCGTCAGGCCAGGGGTGCTCCATTCTGGGATTTGAAAAATTGAGGATTTGAAAATCGAGGGTGTATTATTTGAAAAATCGAGGGGGTGTTACACGGGGACACCGTGGCTGTTGCCCGGTAAACTCAGAACACACAAACTCCATTCTTTTACACAGACAAGTGTGAAATGCATCTTTTCTCCTTTAAAGATTATCTACACCTCTCGTTTAGACCTCGTGGAAAGCATTAGCAGAGTTGTTTGCGTGAAATTAGTTTCTTGAAACGAAAGCCCAGATCTGCATCCCTGCGTTTTGAGGAAGCTCACATCCGCGGCGCTTTCACACATGTTCATACCAGACTTGCACAAGCTGACTTCAGCTAATCTCTAAATCAGTTGCCCACAAATCATGGACTACTTCTAAAGTAAGGTTGCAAAAAGGAACGGTAAAAGAGTCAAATGTGCTGTCATTAGGCTAAAATCCGCAATCAAAGGGCCCACATCTGCACTGGAATTTTGCTGGAGGGCTGAGAAGACGGACACCGATGCTCTAGGTCCTAGCGTTTGCAATTACGGTGCTCTAGCCTGAATATGGGGACTAACAGGATACAAATGTTCTGGCAGCGCAGCGCTGAGCTCAGCGTAGAGATACTGCCGATAAACAAATTAACTAATTGCTTTAGCTCAGAATTCGTGACAGCAACAATAACTCCCTTGTTAACCATGACACGCGGTGATAGCCTGAAGCTCGCCCTGCGCTCGGAGGTTCTGCACCAGCCAAATGCTCCCAGCCAAAGAAAGAGAATGGAAGTGGGTCACATACCTGTGGAGAGAGGCCATTGCTAACGGGATTCATGTGGTTGGCAGGAGCTGCAGCATTCATGAAACTGTCCGAGTAGCTGGAGAAGCTGTGCCGGGCCCCGTAGGCAGAGCCGGTGTCGGCGGCGGCGGCGGCCGCGGCGAGCCCTCCCTGGTGCATGGTGGAGGGCGGCAGAGGCTGGGGTCTGTGTACGGTGCTTCCCCCATCTGTGGAGAGAGCATTCAAGGGTGAGGAGTTGCAGGGGGATGGCACAAAGCATGGACGGATGGCTCGGCTATCCTGATCTCATCGTCCGGGTCCCATCACCTCTGCGCTCCGTGGGAATGCAGCGCGTTCAACAAAAACCGTGGGACGGTTTATGCGCGGTACAAAATGTGCAGACCTGAGATGAAATATCTGATTTTTTCTCTTAATTTTTCCCCAGACAGAAGCTGTAAATTCCTTTGCTAATTCCAGTTGTAAGCCAGCTGGAATTAGCAATACTCTTTCCACTGAGCTCCAGTATGGAGACATTGCCTGCGTGATACTCACTTTGCATCGATGTTCTCTCCATCCCAAAGCTATGAGACACATGGGCACAGCAGAAAGAACCATGAGACAGAGAAGAAAACTGTGGAATTTCCACCGACTTGAGGAAAAACTTGGTCTTCCCAACTAAAGGAAAACCACACTCGTATCACAAGAGCCTTAGCAGGACATCATGAATCAGAAAGGGAAGGGCCGGAGGGAAGATGAAAGGCAAGAGAAGAGGAGCCGTGCAGGCAAAGGGCTGCTCACCTTGGGAAATGGTGGTCGTTGGGTAGGTGGAGTCCGGCAGCTGGTACGGGGGGAGAGTCGGCATCCCCGTCGGCGGGAAGCCCCCCGGCAGCAGGTGGTTGAAAGCCGCGAGCTGGTTTGCTCCCGCCTGCTTGCGCCATCTCGCTCTTCGGTTGCTGAACCACACCTGATGAGGGGAGGGAAGACCATGAGTGACTCTCTCTGAGCTGCTGTCCCATCTCACCTGGGTTGCTGGTGGGCTCAGAATAGGTTCAGGATGTTGCCTGACAGAGACTTTGTATTTGTGTTGGGTTTTGTGGTTGGTGCTGGTCTCTTCTCCTGGGTGATTAGCAATAGAACAGGAGGGAATGGCTTTGAACTGCAACAGGGCAGGGTTAGACTGGATATTAGGAAAAATGTTTTCACGGAAAGAGCAGTCAGACATTGGCACAGGCTGCCCAGGGAGGTGGTTGAGTCCCCAACCCTGGAGGTGTTTAAAGGTCGTTGAGATGTGGGGTTGAGGGAGATGGTTTTGGGGTGAGCTTTGTAGAGCAGGGTTAGTGGCTGGACTTGATGATCCCAGGGGTCTGTTCCAACCTGAATAATTATATGATTTCCCAATTTCCTTTCTCCCAAACAACACGAATCCTACCACCACAGTCTCCTGGGTGAAAACATGTGCATTTTGAATTAAGGATACTATCAAGAGCGTGGGAGGATGCTACCAGCAGTAGGGTGAGATGAAGAGGAATAATTAACTTGTGTATTCCGAGTGACTCCATCCCAAATAGATGCATTTCTACCATTTGGCCATTCTGCCTTGTTATCTGACAACTGCGTGAATCATGCTGAAGGGAACCATAATAGCAACCCGGCTGCACTGTTAGCAGGGATAAATAGAGAGATTAGCATCATGGTTTCTATGTTAGACAAGCTAAATAGATAGAACCAGACCGGAGGGAATACAGGGTTTTCGTAGCTCCTCTGTACTGCAGCAAATCACTGTTGTCTGTGTGCTAAGAGATACTCTCCTTGCAAGAGACACTGCAGCGTGCACTAGAATCGCGCTGCAGCCAATTTAAACCTCTGTGCATTAAAAATAAACCCAGTACTAAAGCCTGTGCAAAACTGGGCTCACGTTTCCTGCAGTGCTAGTTTACCTGTAAGACTCAAGGGGTGAATTTTCTAAATGCGTTTGTCTGCCCTGATGTGTTTTATCATGAGCAATCTCCCTTCTGCACAGGGGAAAGGGTTCTCAAGCTCTCTCTTGGGCTTGGTTTACTTCATTTAATCGGAGAGGCTCTCAGGCCCGATCCCTGTTTGGGGTTCAGAAGTATGCGGATAAGCTTTCAAGCCAGATGAGAATGCAGCTGCTGGACTTTGTGAGGCCTAAAGGGCTAGAAAACATGATTAAATTTCACAGCAACATGAAAAAATGGAGCAAAAATCAAGAGTGTAAAGCATTCGGGGGGGGGTGGGGGAAAACCTCCATTAGGCTTCCAGGCTTCTCAACATCAGATCAGAAGCTGGGACTATGAGGGTTTGAGGCACCGCGGTCCAAACTGTCCCCACATCTTGTGAACCAAAGCAAAATTCTCTTCTCTAGATGCAGCAAAACCTGAGTCCGTCGCACCTTGCGTGATCCAAACCTCCGAGTGAGTGTCTTTCTCAGACCTTTAAAATGAGTCCCCTTAAAAATGGTCACTTTTTAGTTTGCCCTTTTCTCGTGGGCACCTGTGGGTACGTTGCAGCTCACCGGGCAGGGCAAGGCGACGCGTTTCCAACCCGGATTCACCTATTTAACAGAGCGCCCGCTCTCAGTCCCTGCGGTGGCGCTCGCTGCAAAAAAAAAACACCCGCCGAGCCTCGCCCGCAAATTTCTGTGAGGTTCTCTGGATCACGGTCTATTATGGCTATTTCTAGGCGGTGCTCATCTGTGAGGGTGCTGCTTTGATTAAAACCTGTTAATGAGAGCTGTGCGTGACCTGGGGAGTCCTTCCCGCTCTTATTTATATCCATGTATAGCAAAAACGATAAAAAAGCCCTTTTTTCTTCGGAGGACCGGGTTTGAATTAAGCCCCCTGAAAGGTATACAGGGCTGATGTCAGGTCCTTGGCACCAAAAAGGGCTTTTTACAGACCTGTTCCTACTGCTCTGCACTACTGGCTGGAGCAGAGTAACCTCTCGGCACCTTCCAAAAGCGTGACAGAAATAGGTCAGCTTACATCCGATCCGCATTGATCGGCAGAGTCCCTGCGGGTCAGAATCTCTGTGTCCATTTTTGGCACCTAAAGCCGCTGGCAAAATCTAGGACGGAGTTAAGGGAGACAGAAATGAATGAACCTTAAGGCTTGCAGCGCTTTACAACTCTTTTATACAGTCCAACCCGTGGCACGGTTTCTAAGAGCACTGAGCAACACTAATCGCAGAATGTTTAAATGAATAAATGAATGAATAAATGAATAAATAACCTTTTGTTGGCGCTGGCTGTGCCAAGAGGAGAGTCCTGTACTTTTCTCCTGCATGCGTGTGTGTGTAATTCATGCTTTGAATTAGGGATATGGAACGTGGCTCCTCCTCTTTCACCGTTAAGGTGAATATTTCTGTTAGGTGAGGAGATAAATAAACCTTTTCTCTTCAGGGAAAAAAGCCTAGTCCCAGGCTGAAAGAGCTTTCACTAAAAAAAAAAAAAAATCTCTATGCTGAGAAAATCATATAAAATTCAAATACCTGAAGGGAAAACATAACCAAGCAGCTATGAAAAGTTAGAGGGAAAGATAAACGGAACACCATGAATGTAAAAGCCACTCCAATGATTTCTGACACTTTCCTGACGTTGCAAAGGGTGGGAAAGTTCCTTTTTTTTTTAATAACCAAGAGCCAGATGCTGGCAAATCTACTCGGGATGAAGAAGTTCAGAAGAAACATGTGGAGTGAGATGGTCTAGTAGGGGACACACTTCTCCAACAACATTCCCACAAGTACTTGGCTCCCCTGTGATGGTTTGCCCGTTGGCTTGGCTAACGTATGATCAAAACACAACTTTGGGAGGTTTCTGTTGTCTTACGTTACACCACGTGAGGTTATTGTTGTCCGTGCACCAGTACGCACGCTGTTCTGAATTAAAATTCCCACACACGTGTACGACTCCTCCCAACTTGCTCCCCACATCCACTTCAGGGAAATAAAATGATACTCTGGATCCTTTTACAACCAGGTAGAGTCAACCAGAAAGGCTGAGGCAGTTCTTGGGGTGCCTTGCACACTTTGTTCTACGACGTGCACAGGCTTGGAAGAAATGAAAGCTAATTTTCCTGACCGAGCTACCACAAGAGAAAGTCCATTCTTGATTTTACTATGGGTTCCTTCCGTGACTTGGGAAAACTTGCTTTTTTTTAATTTAACAGCAATGAAAACATTGCTACATTTAACAAATTTTGGTCCTTATACAGCCCATGCATCAGATCGCCACCTCTAAATTGAGGATAAAGAATATATTTTAGTTTATTTCAACCATCAGCCATCTGCAGAAGAGGTTCTCTTTAGCTGCCATTAGGCACCGTGCCCAGCACAGCAAGATCTCTGCCTTGGCTGAAGCATCATAGCGAAACAAATAATAGATGATAATAATAGTAAATACACATGCTCCAAAAGAGATTCACAACTACATTGCTTAAACGTAGCGCTTCCTAGCAGAGCCTTGCTGGAGAACCCAGCCCCAAACACACTGAAACCTGCCACAAAGAAATTGATAGGATTAATCTTCCCGTGCAGAGGAAGGGACATTTCATGGCCCAAACAGGTTGATTCTGCCCCTTATTTATAACCCACAGGAAAAAAAAAAAGAAGATACATTCCAGCTAATGACGTTAGCAATTCTTTCCCTTCCCCCGCCTTAAAGGTGGCTCAGGCCTTTATGCTTATAAATCATTTTATTGGTGGTTAAAATATAGAGTCTAGAGCATCTAGCTGTAATGCGAGGCGCACTTCAAAGGGAACCTGCTTTCATTTCACAACAGTTAAGGTTTTATCAGCCACTAAAGATTCCCCCTGCCAGAGGATCCTGTTACACCACGTTAAGCCTGGGGTGAAGGCTACAGCTGCTAAAACCAGAGCGGTGGGAAGAAGATGAGGAAGAGGAGGAAGTTTTGAACCTGCTGGCCTGCCTGTGGAGACGTTGTTCTGGAGTTTTCTGGGGCTGGATCGCGCGAGTCAAGATTTACGCTGGGGCAAACGTGTGTGAAGAACCCAACAGCAGAAAAAATGGCACGTCAGGAACCTACTTTTTTCTTAAAAAGTTCGTCGTGACCGTTGGTCTGCGCGTAGCGAAGAGATGCTGCGTGGTGCAAAAGTTCTGCCAAGGAGAAGCAGATAGAGACAGGAAT